TAAATATGGAAAAATTTGAGACACATACAATCAAAAATAGGTGCTGAAAATCCCTTCTTTCAACTTTTGATCATTATATCACCATAAAAAAATTTCAAATAATTTTAACTCGATGACTGGTTCACTGATGTAATAATCTGTGATCAATATAAGATAGATCACTGACATCAGTTTTGAATAAAATCATCCAGTTATTCAGATAAGCTGGTTAACAAGTAAGTGAGGATTTTTTTCATGACTATAGTTTACTTCCATTCTGGGACTAAAAAGGTTGAATAACTTTCAAGTGCACACTCACTACTGAAAATGTTCACAGAGCAAGTGAGACATTTGAAGAAATGTTTTTATGTTCAATAATTGGGGAAATTTTTATCAGAGTTCAAAGCAAAACAAAACTTTGTAGATAATGGGATGGATTTCTCTGTAATGATAGGTAGATTTTGCTTGATGTAATCAGGAAGGAATATTTTGTTTGCAATAAAAGGTACTAATTATATTTTTTGTGAAGTAAGTTTCAAGATAATTTTCAAATGACTTTCTTTTTTACTGCTAAGAGATTACTTTAAAAAAAGAAGCAGATGAATCACAGTGCTAATTTGAATGTGATATTTTGGTCTTTTGTGTCCCAGGACTTTTGTGAAACCCCTGCTGGTTGTGCTTGGCCCAACAGCAGTTTGTCCTTCCGCGGTTTTCCACATGTTCTGTGCGTTTCTTTATTTTTTCTCCCATGCTTCCTTCAATTTATATTTTCCTTNGTGTCCCAGGACTTTTGTGAAACCCCTGCTGGTTGTGCTTGGCCCAACAGCAGTTTGTCCTTCCGCGGTTTTCCACATGTTCTGTGCGTTTCTTTATTTTTTCTCCCATGCTTCCTTCAATTTATATTTTCCTTGTTCATTTCCTCTCGCGTTTCCCTTCATGCTCCAGGGTACGAAGGAAAACTATCCCCGTTATTAGGTTTGCTGGCCAACTTCTTTTTTTTTTTGTGAGTCTGTGTTCTGGTTTCTGGCGAGGCTCAATTATTTGTCACGGAGTTGCGTGACTGCACTGAAGAATAAGAGAAGTTTCTTCCAGAACGTTTCCATGAAATATTGGGTAGCATGTCATGGTACTCTTCCTTTGAGCTGATGCACTGGAAATAAGACAATGCACCATTTTCTTTGGTGTTCAGGTAATCCATATGGATTTTCAATTGAGGAAGTCTGTTTCCCCCTCCATTCACTGTGGATAATGAAGAATATGCTGTCGAACCCTGGGTCACGGACTTAATTTGTTCCATGGGCTTGTCTGTAAACCAGTGAGTCCGTAACCTGAAATAGGATCCGCCATAGACCTAAATTTTAAATTATTTAATTGGTTCTAGGCTTCAAAATTCATTTCCAGTTTCGTGAACTTCGGAAATTTGTGAAAGTTTCAATTTGCAACTGATTTTCAAATTGTTCAAAGCGTTGCATGCAAAAATATTTTTTCTAAATTTCATTTTTTTAAACATGCAAAAATTTTGAAAATTTGACAGAATTACAACCAAAAATGTAAAAACATTTTTGAAAATGTTTCTACATTTTCATCTGTAAGCCGGTATGTCCATAAACTGGGGTTTGACTGTACAGTAAAAGAATTCATTTACTGTACATATCAAAAATAGACTGAAACATTGCTTGCGTTGGAGCGACATCTTCAGATGATGGTTTTTTCATAAAAATAACTCACAATTCAAATCCATGAAAACGAAATGGGAATCAAGTGAGTGAGTATAAATTCTGTGATTATGTAAATGAAGGGGTGAATTACTGTATATTAAAGCGCTGGATTTTTAGAAATTTAAAATTTTTTGGTTCAAGGGAGTGTCCTTTTGTGTGAAAATTTTTATTCATAAGTGCCCTAAAATTATCAACATAAACATGATTTCGCTGTATTTCGCTGTTGAAACACCTTCTAGGTGGCCATGACATTTTCATTCCAGCTCTAATGATATGATGGTGCACTCTTCAAGAACAGTTTTTTCATTAAATGTCATGAACATTCATGACAGTTATTACCCCCCTCCCCTGTTTGGGGTCACTTTTGTCACCAAGTCAAGAATAAGTCAGGCATATAAGGTAATGCATACAGTACTATTTTGAATGCAGATGTAATGAGTACAATATTAATTTACTGTACTGATGTGGACTATATAAGAATCCGTTTTTGAAATAAAGAGGAGGGGGGGGGGGGGTTGCTGACAGACACCAGGTGTCCCAGCATGCTATTTGTCAGCTAGAATGTCTTTAAGCTGGATTGGATCAATTGCAATCATTTATTTGCAAAATGTTCAAGTTTTTTCCAGCAAAATGTCACTTTTGCCTGCCACTGAATCCCTCTCAATACAATAAGTTAGTTCAAAAACCTGGGAAACATCAAGTTTTCATCTGGAAAGTATGTTAGCAGGAGGACTTGTTAGCCAAGACCTCATTATATTATCTCTTTCATTCAGTCATAATTGATTGATTGCTTGATTGATGTGCAAGCTTTAAATGTTCCTATTTTCAGTGTTTACAAGGTTTACTCACATCTATACATTCAAGACAGTCCAGTGCAACAAAAATGATATGCCAAATGGGTGATGAAAGAAAATACATCACAGTACTGAACATACAAATGCAAAAATAATGAATTCCCATCATTTGCCATCATGATCATGACTGAATGCTTTGTTTTGATTTGGATCACAATTTCATATGACATTCCAATTTTTCAAAAAGGAAAAAATTTGTGAATGAAAATTTCAAAATTTGGTCATTTTAATGGTCAAAGACATTCTACTGTAGTTTAAGTATTATTTTGAATGGTAACGGAATACCATCAGATACCATTTCTCTAGTGGGTATTTTTCTGATGGTCTTCATGCTGGAATATTGTTCTTTGATAAAGAAACAACAATTTTTAAGTGAGATTTTAAAAACTTGCTCACATAATAATTGGAAGACATTCTAGCTATTGATATTCTTTTAAATGTTGGCATTAGCAATTACCATTTCTGGAGTTTTTTTGCTTGTTCCTTTCTTTTGAAGGTCTTCATGCTGGAATATTGTTCTCTGAAAGATGCAACAATTTGTTATTGATATTTTTAAAACTTGAACAACTAATTGGAAGACATTTGAATTTTGTAAATTATTTCAAATAAAAGTATCAGCAATTACCATTTTCCCAGTAGCTTTTTTATTTGGTTCTTCCTTTGAAAATAAAGTCTCCCTGCTGCTTTACTATTGTTGATGTTCCTTTTGGCATCAAAAATGGTGCCAGTGCTGAAGGCTGTCATTTCAAGAATGACACGCAATATCCTTCGCCATTATATAGCTGCTTTCCTTGGCTGTGGAAGTAATTGAATCCACCCATGAGATACTGGTTTTATGTCTTTCACTCCCTTTCTCTTTTCAGCACATAGCCGTTATTCCATTGTAAAGGGGGGTGGGAGGGGGAAGACATAAAGCTTTAATTGTTGCCTTCACATGACTCACATGCAGTTGACCTTGCATGCGTAAGAATGGGTGTCTCATAACATTTGCTTGATATTGTCCTGTGTAAACTAATGCTGTCATTATCCAGAACGTGGTGAATTTCTTACCTTTTTTTGTGGATTGTCATGTTCTGAATTGAACCGAATTTGTACCCATTGCTGTTGGCAAGCTTGTGTGACTCATTTTGTGAATACATAGAAAGGATTTCGCCATTTTAAGCAGAAGTGCCACAACTATTATTTTGATCATATGTTGGGGTTTATAGCTTAATTTTCTGTGATACTGGATTTGATGACCCACTAGTGACTTGATTGAACAAAAGGAAAACATTGTAGATGTCGCTGCAATGCAGCAGCAACATCTAATTTAGATGATTTTTTAATGGATAAGAAATTTTTTTCATGCTCCTGGAATTTTTGTGTGCGCAGTGTAGTTTGAGGATTTCCTGCTCAATATTTTTTATTGAGCCTGACAAATTATAGGATATTATAATTCCAAACAGTGGTACTATAAATTTATATTTTATTCTATAGTACAATATATGAGCTGTGCCTCAAAAAAAAATTTTCACTGTTTTGCAAGAAAAATCTTGCCAAACTTTGCCAAGGTTTTACTTCAACGCATCTTGGTGAAACTTTCCACTTTCTAACTTGCCACACACCCAACCTGCTGCTGTCAAAACTTGCCACAGTGTTAACTTGCTGCTGTGATAAGTTGCCGCAGGTGGAAGTTGCTGCTGCAACAACTCACAGCTGCAATGACTTGCTGCTATCACAACTTGCTGCATGAATTGCAGCCATTTGCCATTGCATTGACTGAAATTTCAGGAAAGAAGGAATTCCCACATTCTTCCACTTAACTAGGCATTCTGCTGTGTGAACATTTTTGGAATATACAAAGGGGGTTTCAATGAATTCATTCATACTGAACTTGTACTATAGGGGGCTAAATGATGTGCATTTTATTTTTGATGGCAAGGTTTTTTTCATCTTATTCTATTGTATATTTTTTCAATTGCAAACATGTTCTGCTGTGAATTAAGTTTTAAAAAGTTCTAAAACTGTCTGAATCAATCATCAAGTAATGCAAGTTGAAAGAGTTGCAACTTATAGCTACTGCAAGTTGTGACTGCGGTGAGAAATGATTGCGGCAACTTGTTGCAGCAGCAACTTGTGACTGCAGTCACGTCAGGCTGCAGTCAGTTGCAGCAGCGGCAAGATAGGGTGCAGCAAGTTGAAGTGCAGCAAGTTCAACTGTAGCAAATTTCACCGGCACCACTTCAACATGTACTGTATTTAGAAACCATTGCCCTGACTTGTGATCTGCTGGCTTTGTCATGGAGCAAATAAGAAGTGAAATTCAACTTCACGCTTCTCATCGTCACTGAGCAATAACTGATTATTGCTCAATTTATTCACTTGTTCTATTTCTTGTAATTCTTAAAATTGAACCAGCAAATGTTTATTTTTGGAAATTTTAGCAATTTCGTCTGAGAGAATTGCCTTAATGAGCGTGATTATAGCCATTATTGATGTGAATCTATAATTTATTCATTTATTTACTTACTTGATTCCAACAGCAAGCGTCTCCATGGCTGACGACGACGGCGACCAGCAGTGCAGCAGAGCAGCCACTGGCGTCCCTGCCGCCGATGGCGACCCACGACCGCCGCCTGGGCTCTCCCGTCATGGCCAGGAAGCCGAAACGACGCCAACAAGCCCTGGGCCACAGCGCCAATTTGCAAATCTGTTTCATGCCCGACGACCTGCTCGACGATGACGACCTCGTGTCGACGACGTCAGCGACGATGGCGTCGTGTGACAGACTTTCGGCAGGCCCCGGGATCGACGGTCTGGATGTCAGGCTTCCGTCGCCAGTGCAGCCCAAGTCACTGCCCGCCAGCAGTGGCAACGCTGCCGGCAGTGTTGCCAATGGACGGCAGAAATGCGTCGAGTATGTTTTGGGTTTTAAATTATTCTACTCTTATTTTTTTGGGATGCACAAGTTTCATATTACTTTTTCGGTTCTCAACTTTTTTTGGAAAATGCCAACAAATTTAAATGAGGTTTTAGGAAGAGAGTAGGAAACATTTGTAGGTTTTACCCTTAGTGTGGCAAAGTTGGGATATTTTTGCTAAATGTTGTGCTGCCCATGTGTACTGAAAGTTGACAGAAATCATAGGTTTGAAGCAAGGCCTAAGATGGAAACAATTTCAATGTCTTTCTAAATCTGCAGAAAATGTTGAACGGGAAAAAAATTACACACTTGTAGATGCTTTTTCCTGCACTCCTGATTTCCTACCATAGGATTAACTTTTAGGAGATTTCTCAAGACAATAGTACACATATTCACCCTCTGGGCAATTCCTGACTTAAAATCTCCCAGCCCTGGGGCATTTAACCCTTGGAAGGTGGAGGGTTCCTGGTCACCCTGCAGCAAAGTCAGGGTTTTTTTGGTGGGGTGGCACATTTCAGTTTGACCCAAGTTCACTGAAATTCACCCAGTTTGGGAAGGCCTAAGTTGGGAAAAATCCAGGAAGGGTGAATGGGGTAGTTAAAAATCTCTAATGCAAATCCCATGGAAAGAATTCCTGAAAAAATTCCCCCAGTGAGGAATTGTTTTATTGCTGAACAACATGCTGAGGCATATGTATTGCAGGATTAAAAAAGAAATATTGGACTTTTTCTCAACTTAGGCCTTGGTGCAAAAATCCAATTTTTAAAATTGCCAGTTCTCATGGACACAACATTTTGCAGAAATATCCCAACTTTGCCACACAAGGGTTAATCCTTGGATAGAGGCAGGTGAATATCCATTGTAAAGGGGTGCCAGGCAAATTTTTGCATGCTTGTACACTTCGGTTTGACCAAAGATCACCAAAATGTAGAATTTGATGATTAGCCAAAGTCCTGAAAAATGTGGAAAAATGAAAGCCATTGTTTTCAAAATCCTTCAATGCTAATCCTAATGCAGGGATGCAGAGAAAAAATGCAGCCCAGTTAGTAAATAAAATTGTTGTCAAGAAAAACGTTTCTGCATGCAGGAATGTCAAGGACAATTAGGACTTTTCTTGACTTCTGCTTTTCTCTTTTCATATATTTCTTTCACTTATGACATAAAATTGTGCAAATAAATCCCAGCAGTTGAGCCCAAGGGTTAGGTGATCTATGGTCAAATTGAAGTTCATTTCACCCTGGAAAAATCCTAACTTTGCCAAGGGATGCTGGAATGGCTTGGAATTGAAAGAAAATTATTTTAGCTGAATATAATGAAATAAGATATAATAACAGAGGCAAGGAAACTAATTGAGAAAGGAAATCATCATCAATCAGCCACAACTGGTGAACAATGGTGTTGCATTATGGCTCAAGTCATCACTCCTTGATGAGAACCACAACTGCGTCATTGATCGTTATTATTTTTGTGAAAATTCGAATTGATTATATACAAGTTTGTAAAAATGAATGACTTATTTTAGAAATGACAGAAGGAAAGCACAAAGCAAAAAATAAAATCAACATCATTGAGCTACGTGCGATAAGAAGTGACAATATTCCTTTTTTTCCATTCAGAATGACAGGTTCTCCTCATAATTTTATATTTGCAGCAAAACGATTGTACTAATTTGCAAAATTTCAAGCAAATGGGAGCAAAAAACACGAAAAAAAGAACTCATCGCATTCATGGTTTGGTAACAAAGTAGCAGACATTCTCTAAGTTCCGAATTTTTTGTCATTAATCCACGGACGCCGGAAGTGCAGTCCATAAATAATTCAGAAGACGTGGATAATTCCTCAATGTAACCCATCATATTGTTTTTTTTTAAAGGGGCGAAAGAATTTATTTTCCTCGGAGAAGATTAGAAACGTAGACAATAAAACTGAAAAAAAGCTGAAGCAAGTACAGTATAATGCCATCAATCACCCGCTCTGCTGAGAATTCTGTTCGCGGAATTTCACCACAACTTTCGTCTTTTTTCATTTGTCTATTCAGACACTCAAAATTCATTCACTGAATGTATCTCACAGTAAGATGAATATCCTACTAACGAACTCACAATCATGAATTATTATTCAGGCGACAAAGGCTTTGAAGCCAGGTCACATAATAAAACGAAAAGCAGATGGAAGAAAAACCGCTTTTCAGGATATATTCAGTTGCAATTTTCAAACTGTGTTTTCAAAATCTTTTCAAATGTTTTAAAGTGTTGTTTTTATTAACCTACGCACTCTTATATCTACTTGACTGATTTTTAAGGAAGTCTCACGCTCTCAGATTTTTTTTTGTGAAATGGAAAAAAAAAACTTTTCATTTGTGAGATGGAATTTCGCAGGAAAGTTGGGACATTTTTCTTCCATCACCTGTTAAAAGTTGACAAGACGTGTAAGACCAAAACTTTATCTACTTTTCTGGCAGATGCAAACTTCCAGGAGATGTAGGACTGACTTGAGTTCATTTTTTGCACTGATTCTGTTAATGGCCAAGTTGATCTCTTGCTACTTGGTGGTAGTTTTGTTCCTGCATTTATTTTTCCAAACTTTTGATTGGACCATAAAAAAAATATTCTTGGAAGTTCTTCCAGCTGCGAGCTATCTTCATAAATTTTGAAATCTCCTCTCATTTGGCTCTTTTTTTATGACCAAAAATAAATGTTAGTCCTCTCGTATACCAATAAAAGATTTTTGGCATAAATTCAGCGATTTTCATGGGACTTTCAGTTGTTGGACTCACCTGTATCACAACTTAACAGGTAATTTTAAATCATCCAATTTAATCACCTGGGAACATGCTGACTGCCTTATTCCATGAATTGTGCTCACAAATAGCTGGGTGTGGTGCATTTCTTTCAAAAAGGACTGCCAATGATATAATTCATGGTGAATCCTGTGATGCTTATTTTTATTTTTTAATGGATGTGTAATGAAGGTTGGAAGGACAAAATGTTATGAGCCATGTGAATGCTGACAAGCAGCAAATAAGCATATTCATCAATCAATAAAGTAATTTTATGCAACAGAGTTTTTCAAGAATAAGGCAAGTACTGTACTGTGTACTGTAGTGTACACTAATGAAATTGAGTTTGTATTCCAATGCCCACTTCAGCAGCCCGCTTCAATATTTTGATTAAATTTTCCTGAGGCACTTTAGCTGGTGTCCTTTGGCGGGATACTTCCTTGGAAATGCAGATCAGTACACTTCTCTCTCTTTTTCCCCACTTTATTTTGATAGTGACTCCGCACAACAAGACGATTTCTGGAGAAAACAGGCCAGGCTTCAAGCAGAGGCCAGAGTGGCCCTGGCACAGGCCTGTCACATGGCCAAGATGCAAATGGAGGTGGAACGTCAGCGCAAGAAGAACTCTCCCATTTCAGATATGGTAAAAAGTTGACTCTTTCACTTTGCATAAAATTCCTCTGGTGATGTGAGAGTGTGGCTTGAGGCACTTTGTGTGTTTGTGTCTGGAGGATGAACTAAAGTCGATCCTTCTCAATTCAAACTCAGAGGGACAGGCAGAAAAAAAAAGGATTTCTGGAGATTTTGAATTATTATTGGAGAAACCAGCATTTTTGGTGTGGAAAAAATTAAGAATTCAAGGAAGGGAGACGTGTGATCTCCTGGTTGCTGAGTAAATTATTTTTTAATATGAACTGAACTTGGAGGCAAGAGCAAATTTTCTCAATTATTCACTGATTTCATTCTCAAAAACCATCAAGTTCAATTTTTTGGCCCTTTCTGTCCTGGGCAGCCAGAATAATAGCTTGAAAAATAGCTCAAGACAAGAGTTATAGAGGTTAGAGGGAGGAAATTTGTCTTTAGCATAATCATGAGAAAATGCAACTTTCATTTTTCATCAGGTACTTTCAACTGTCATTGTCTTCCCAAAATTTCAGATGAAGATAGCAGACTTCATTGCTACTTTCTACATATGTATTATACCACAGAAAATTTTCTGTGGACCAGCAAAAACATCTGCAGACCACAGGTTAGGGAACACTCCCCTATAACATTGGGGAAGAACTCTGCCTATGGGGCCAGAAAAATTGTTATGCAGAAAAAAAATTTTGTAGACAAGATTGTTTGCCTGGATGTGGGAACATTGTTTGAACCTTGTGAATGCTGAAAAGCAGTAAATAAAGCTTGCTGTTCAGTTCAATTCAATTTAATTTAAGCTTCTTATAGAGAGAGTCCATCTGAACCACATTGTTCTCAAGGAATTCAGAGAAGGAATTAAAAAATCAATTCTACATAAGAAGGATTTAGACTTAGGGAGGTTCATATTAGCAAGTTCCAAATACTTGTAGATACAGTATGATGCAAAGTTCCCCAACCCATGGTCTATTTTTGCTAGACTGCCAGAAAATTTCAACATAAGTAATTTATCAAAGTTGTGATGAAGTCTGTTCTCTTTGCCCAACATTTCGGAAGGACACTGGTACAGTAGCTGAATTCTGATGAAAATGAAAGTTCTCCTAACAGCACTTGAGACAAAATTTCACCTGCTGAAAGAAATTATTTTCATTTTTCATTCTGAGGGATCTTTCTCAAAGCCCACTTTTCCCATTTTTTAATGGCATTCAGCATAAGAGCAGTTTTATTGCAAATACCTGCGAATTGAGATTCAAGCAAAACTTTGTTGAGTCTGCAAAAATTTATGAAACTTGGCTGGTCTGCTGAGACATTTTGGGGAATTTGCCAAGCTGTGAAATTTTTTTGGGTGGATATTTGTGGGTCAGTGGGCCCAAAAAGGCTTGGGAACACCAGTATAACATGTCTCATCATGAATCAAATGCTGTGTAAACCTTTCTACATTTTTATTCACTTATTTTTTTCTATTCCAGATCTCCCTCCCTGTATCTTGTTCAGGGCACAGGCGACTAAGCAGAAGTTTGCTCACCAGGATCAACCTTGAGGAACTGAATGCGATTCAAACTTCCCTCATCATGGAAGTCAAAAGTAATATCCACAGATCTCCCTCCCTGTATCTTGTTCAGGGCACAGGCGACTAAGCAGAAGTTTGCTCACCAGGATCAACCTTGAGGAACTGAATGCGATTCAAACTTCCCTCATCATGGAAGTCAAAAGTAATATCCTTTAAATCAAAAGTTTATGTCTTACTTTTAAGAAAGAAGTTTCTCTTCCAAAACTTGAAAATCAGATGCACTTTAGAAAGATTCTCATATTATATTAAAGTTTGAAGCAGTCTGACTTCTGTTCTTGAAGCAATAATAGATTTTCTTGAAAATATCCTGCATTGACATATTGAATCAAAGCAAATTGTCAGATGAAGGAAAATGGAAGCACATATTTTTGCACTCCAGAAATAATTTGGAAGGTGCTTCACATCTTGTGGAATAGGAGTTGCAGTCTTAAAGTACATCTACAAGGACACATGAATAATTAAAAATTTTTCTTATTGTCCTTGCACAGTATACCAGTTTTTCTTAGTCATCTAATTCTATGCAACTCCTCTGCCCAAATAGTGCAAAACAAATAGAAAAAATCATGTGAAGCAAACTTTCATTTTGGTATAATTTTGTAAGAAGCAGTGGCAAAGCAAGTTGTTCCCTTATTCAATCCATTACATTTCTTAAATGTTTGCCTTTTTATTTCCATGTATATATGTACATGTCATTTTTTCTTAATCCTAAGTTTCTCATCTACGGTCAGTTTCCAATAGAAGCTTGCTAGTTGAGGATATTTTTAATATGCATAAACGGCATTTTTTGGACCATTAATGATGATTCGCTCAATCATGCCATTTTTATTATTTGTACATTGTTTCTGCATTACAGAGTTGAATGAGCAGCTGGTCACAAACCTGATGATGAGAGATGAATTACACATGGAACAGGACTCCATGCTTGTGGATTTGGAGGACCTGACAAGATACTTGTGAGTTGATTAAATTGATGAATGCAATTGAAAATAATTTTTCATTTTACCCAATCAATTATTAGTGAGATTTTGATTAAAAATTCGCTCTAACATCTGGTGTTGCCAGCAACAAACTGTGCAAGGGTTCACACAACCCATCCTTTTTTAAACCTAATTTTAAATTAAAAAACGCACCAAGTCAAATTTCTGGGGAATCCCTGGCCTATTACGTAAACAATTAATTTGAAACAAAATATAAAATTCAATGTACTCAGTTTGAGCTGATTTAAATTAAAATTTATTAGCGGAAAAATATCTTGATGTAACTTATAGTCAAATTTTCAATTGTTTTTGTGTTTTGAACTTTATAGAGCTACATTTGGATGACCATTTCTGGAAAACCAAGACAATAATTTACAATATTATTTTAGGTCATTCTCTAATCTGAGAGATGAGGCTACTTCTTGCAAATGGGTTTTTCAAGAAGATAAGAAGCACTTCTGATGATTAATCAGGAAATTGTTTCCTTGATTTGAGCTACAAAATAATCAGGAAACATTCCTCAACTCAGAACAAGTCCTTGTACAAACTCAAATTTATCTTGGATAGGTTCCACTTTATGCGTCTTTTTCTTAAAATTTTGAATTTATGGCCCAAAAATGAAATTTATGGCAATTTCTTTGACTATAACATCTGTTTCTGCAAAAAAAACTTTTCTGGAAATATTCGATTATTGATACAAGCGTATGAAAAAAAAACTATGAAGAGTTACGGTGATCTGAAAAATTCAAAACTCTTCGATGAAGTACAGTATTAAAAAATTGTGGTTCTAATCTTTCCACCCGAATCATAACCATATCCTTCAAACTTTTTTTCAGGAGTGCCAAAGAAGAAATCTTGAGAGTTAGAGGTCCACCCATGAATCACAACAAGACGGAGGCAATCAAGATGCAATCCAAGCAGAACAACAAATTCAGCTTGAAAAGTCTCGTGAAATTCTGACCTGTTATTCAATGGCAGAAAAATCAGGAGAGAAAAAAAAAACAAGCAGGTTTTGTTGACAAAATGCGGAAGCATACACAAAACGATACCTTTGTATAAGCGGAACCGGATTGTGAACACTGTTCCTCCCTGTTTGTTTGTTTGTTTGTTTGTTTTTTTGAGCGGAAACAAAATGTGATTTTGATCATGGTGTATTCGAAAGAAAAGAAAGGAGAAAAATATTGTTCCTGAGGGATAATTGGAATGACACCATATTACCACCGGTTTTTTTCTAAAACGGAATGTCCGATTTTATTCGCTTAATAATTTCGTCGCGCTGATGATGAGATGATGATGATGATGATGTTATTTGCAAGAGAAAGAAAGGCTTTGAACGTTGATGAAGTTCTTTTAGAAGTCGATCTTGGACAGTTGCGAAAATTTTTTTCTCCTTTTTCTTTATTCTGGGGACTCATTGATGAGAATCACTCACGTGCTGAGTGTTTTCTCTACTTGGAGTTCTCAAACGTCAGATGCAAAATCTGCAATAAATCCATCTGGACATTTTTCATGAAACAATCCTCTTTATTTCATTTGCGGCGCGTTACTTCCAGAGGAAAATCTAGCGGAACAATGAAAAAATCAATGGAATTTACAGAACTTGAAAATTCAGATATGTTTGAATTACCAACAGGAGTTATTCAATAAATAATTATAGTAGATTAAAAAAATAATCTAAAAAACCATGTTTTCAAAAAGCAAAAAATAACCTAGACAAACAAATGGACAAGAAAGCGAGTTAATAAAAACGTGTTGAAAATGCAGAGTGTAGTGTAGGGGAACCTCTTAAAGGTTCCCTCAAAGACCAGTGAAGGTCAATTATTCTGGTTAACCTCATGACCTTCTGGAATGAGATGCAGTTAGCTTACTCTGAACCAAAAGAGAGCATAATAAACCTATAATCTGCATTACTGGTGGCAGTGGCTCTCTTATTTCAAGTATCTGCATTACTGGAGTAATTTTCCACTGTGATTGAAGATGGAACAGAAGACATGTTATTCCAAGTCTGTGGACCTGAAAAAAGGGTCAAGAAACTGATCAAAGTGAGAAAAATATTGGTGAAAATTACTGAAAAAGGGCTACATTGCTTGGATTAAATATTGGGAATGAGGCAACTATAATGCGTATCAAATACAAGAACCGGATGAGAGTTCAATGACCAACTGTAAAGATGATGTCAATCCTCTCAATCGCCATTCGAGTACAAATGCTTCCAAAACAAAGGGTAATATTTTATTCATGAAACTGATTGTGAGGGAATAAATTTGGATAAAAATCTTGTGGTGGAACAGGATATGATTTACACAAATGTCATGAGTTGTTATTGCAAAGCCGCTGATGAATTGACTTGTTTTAAAATTTCCAATTCAAGTATTCACTGTTTATGGAAAATAAAGGCTTGTTTTTGACGAGGCATTGATTTAAAGTTGGACTCAAGATGTTATCTATAGCTTTCTTTGACCATATTTTGTGGAATTTTAAACAGTATATTCATCATCAGAAAAATTAATGAAAAAATAATCTGATTCTACACGCATCAGGATTTTTTAAGGAAACCAAAAAGTCAGGTGATTTTAAAAGTTATTTTTGTTTTGCTTTGAGGCCAGTTGGACATTGCTTTGAAAGCATCAAATTTGGCTTAAAATGCATGCCAACATCTTCATGAATGCCGGGTTTTAAACTTGAGACAGAGATTTTTAAGCCCTACACCTTGATAGATTAGGAATTTGTTTATCAGAAATAATTGAAGAGGTTCAGGTACTTAGATGCGAATTAAAACACAGTACTTGATCAGTGTGCAAATTGACTGGGGATTTTCTCCCCTAGAGTGCTGACCTTTCTTTTCTTGTCACAAAAACAGCAAATTTTCTGGGTTGGAAAATTATTTTGCTGTTTTAAGTTTTTTGACTAGATGTTTTTCCAGAAAACTGGGTGTCTTTTACAATTCAACAAAGTCTGCTGAATTATTTTGACAGGGAAAAATATACGCTTCAGGAGATTGGTTTTCTGGGGAGTTTTGTACACTTGACAGCTCAAAAGTTTTGAGTTTCCAAGACAAATTGTTTTACAAGAAAAAGGGGGCAATTTTTGCACACATTACCAGCATCTGGTCTTGTTTTTGTTGTTTTGCTGGAAGGTTAAATGACCCCAGTTTGAAGACAACAGAGGGGGAAATTTTTCTCTCCTTTTAAAAATGCCAATTCAACAATTGTCTTGTCCCAGTTCTGGGGGTCATTCTTTTTTGGCAAGCAATCTGATTGCCAACTTTTTCGGTTGTCCTGTTTTGCACACCCCAGTTCAGGGGATTTCCTCATCCTTTCATCTTTGGCACATCCCAAGGTGCGCAGATTAAATTACAAGTCAATCCTTTGACTCTTGTTTCTGCTGCCAGAAGTTCTGCACAATGAAATTTTTACTGGTCAAGAAAATTTTCAATTTGTGAATAATATAGAAATGCATGGAAAAAACCAGATCATGCTTTTATAATTGGCTAATCTTGTCAGGGATAATATTTTTGCTAAATGCAGTAAAGTATTATGCGGTGGAACATGCATTTAAAAAATCCTGATCCTGGATGAATTATTTTGCTATGCAAATTTTTTAACGTGAAAAGCACACAATATCCCCGCTCAAAGATAAAATGAAAAATATAAAGCTTGAGATTTGGTTCCTGTGTTGGAAGGAAATTCGTTTATGCGTAATTCCCGGTTTTTTTATTTATTTTTTAACTGGGAGCCAATTTTCATTCAGAAATTTCTTTCTCCACATTTTTCTTTATATAAGTCATTCATTATGCAGAAAGCTCATTAGAAGGACACATTTTTATTTATTTCTTGCTTAGCTTTCATATTTCTTGCTCAGCATCTACTTGTTGCAATCTTTTCTAATTTTTGAAGGCATTCCACTAAAGCTGCTTTGCTCATTGGTTCTTGACTGTATGCAATGAGTTTTGCAAAAAGCAGGAACTTTTTAGGCACATGTCATGAACAAAACCTTCAAACACAACTTTTTGAGTCTGCAAAAATTTTGTGAACACTGATGCAACGCATCACTGTTAAGATATCTGACAATAAATCATTTGCTGACTATATGCTGGCTTCACATTTTGAGACTTATTGGAATCTCTCTGGAATCTTAATTAATCTCCTATTTGCTAATTTATTCATTCTTTCAAATTTGCACAATATCTATGCACCAGCAGCCGCAGCAGCGCTATGCTATAATAACACAAGGAAGCAAAAGCTCATGCAGTCAGAAATCCCCATTTGTTTGTTCACCAGAACGTTCTGGTGCAACCCATGAAAATAAGAAACAAATAATAACCACAATAAAAGAAAGGATGGAAAACGATGTAAAATTTACTCAATTCCAATGTAGATTGACCCAAGGGAAAATGACGAGAAGAATACTGTATAACATTTTTTTTTTTTTACTATATGGGCACAAGAAGTGTTGCAATAACCAGCACCAGCAGCAGGCAAGTGAGCAAGTCCTTGGGTTTTTTTCTCTCTCTCTCTCCAACTTGCCCCCTTAGACAAAGCTGTGTGTCTGGTTTTTTCTGCATTGCGCAAACGCTTTCTCTTTTTTTATTTTTATTTATGTGCGTGCGTGCGTGTGTGTGGCTATTCGGGTTCTCTCTCTCTTTGTGGTCTTTTTCCCTTCCTTCCAAGGATTATTATTAATTTTTTTTTTCTCCCTGTTTTACAACTTTTCCTGGCAGTCTCGGCTCGGGGCCCCGAGGAAACGCACGCAGTTGGACCCAAATGATCGCGACTCGGGCCATATGATGCTGTCCAGTAATTTTTTTCTGAAGTGGTGGTGATTCGGATAATGGACTGTTTTTTAAAATTGAGTAGATTTTCGCAGATTGAACTGCGGGATGCCTGGGTGCATGTGTATATGTACACTTGAGTAGTGAACAGTTTTGAAAAAGGTGGACTTTTGTTACAGTGAGTTTCTTAGTATTTAGGGTTTTTTTTTCCTTGATTGCAGATGAGTCGCAGCATTGTTGAGTTATTTTCTGCATATTTCATAGCATTTGTTCACATGGAGAAAGTTTGTTCAATATGGCGATTTTTTTCTAGTAGCTTGAATTTTGTTGTGGACGATGATGGAGTTGTTTGGATGATTTTTGATGAGTGATGGTTTTATTTGAATCCATGAGATCATCACGAATCGCGCATGTTTAGAAATTGTTTTGAGGTGGTTATTCGGATTATGGACTGCTTTAAAATAATCAAGTTTTCTCATAATAAACGTTGGGATTTCCTGCACACAGCACGTGGACTTATACTCCACAACAATCTTTTCAGTAACGATTTTTTTCTGTATGTAATCAATATTTTGTAGGTCTTGGATTAGATTCATTTTTCTTCATGGTATATATACCAGCAGTTGTTTAAAAGGACACTAGTTTAGAAACGAAATTTTTACGGTCTTTGTAGTGAGAAGTCGACTTGAACGTAGTGCAGTCTTACTTTTGTGATTTGACCGTGACTCAGACCTGTTTAGAACGTTTTCTGAGGAGGTGATTTGGATGATGGATCACCCCATGGACAGTGAGTTTTGATGGACTGTTTTAAATGAATGAGGTTTTTGTGTAATGAACTTTGGGATATGCCTGTGTATATAGTGTTACAAGTGGTACCTTTGAATTTGAACCTAATCAGTTGCCAAACTAGAGTCAAATTGCAAAGCAATCAAATGGTGAGACACTTGGCTGAATTGAAAAAAAAATCATTACAAAACGGCAAAAAAATTGGAAAAAAAAACAGCTTGAATGGTACTTTCCTGTTATCTTGGTACCTACTTTCTGTGCACCTACCAGGAACTGTGAATTTCATTTGTCCGCATTCTGCTGAAACTGATTTTTGGAGGCAGTTAGGTAAAGTTAGGTTAGGTCAGGTTATGTTAGTTAAAAATATCTTCCAATTAACATAACCTGGCCTAACCTAACCTAACAAATACTGAATTCACGAGACAAAGAAAAATGGGTACTGAGATAACAGGAAAGTTACTGAAATTGCAAGTCAGCCTACTTCCCTGAAAATTTGACTGCTGAATTGCAGGATGGGGTAAAATTGAGGTGGGTTGAATTTTGAGGTACCACTTCCATATGGTTTACATGAGGTGGACTTCCTCTACAATGATTTGGTTCAAAATGAATTGTATCTGTGTATATAATGGATTTATATACCATATATTTGTAGTGGTTATACTTGTTGTAGACACCTTGTACATAGTGAGTCTTTCTTTGGATGATTGATAGCATTTATGATGAGTGATACAGCAGCAGTTTATTTGAAACTGAATTGTTGCTGCGTGTTGTGCTTGAATGGGAAATGTAGTTGCTTGCATAATTAATTTTTCAGTACTGTATGTAAATGAATACATCTTGTTTTTCTGATGGTTTCTTCAAGTTTATTTCGCTGATGCTGTTCAATATTATTAATTTTTTGTTTATTTAATGGTCAATTGATGCAGGTTTCAGAAAGGGAAAACGGTTAAATTGATTATAACAAAGCCATTTAGACCAGTGAAATATTTTTTCAAACAAAAAATTAATTAACTCTCAAGATTATAGCTTCTTTCAGTTAGGGACATAGAATGGACTTGGTTTTGATTCATTATTCTTCATAGCAAGATTCTACTGTACTGTAATGCAATTGAAAGGTTTTGAATGGATTCAGTTTCTCATTATACAGTATATACACTATATTCAGGGGATCTAAAGTCTCTACACAAACCACATACTATAGAAAAAAAAGCTTGCAGAAAAATTGAGTAACAGGTTTGAGAGGACAAGTTTTGGAGTTGGAGTGGTTATAAATGCATTGTTTCCAAAAGGGGATGAGGGCTAGAAAAAAATTGACTTTGGGAGACTTGAAGTTTTTAGGCTCAATACTGTATATAAGTATTACACAATGTATGGTCTGCAGAAGTTTCTTGCCAGTAGTCCATGAGAAATTTTCAGCATAATAAATATATGAAAAGTAGTGATGATGTCTGTTACTTTTACCAAAAACGTTTGAAGGACCAGCATGGCAGTTGAAATTATCTGATTAAAGTAAAGGTTGTCTTTTCTTTATACAATGATTCAGACAAATTTTCACCAGCTGGAATTATTTTGTTTTGTTTTCATTCCGAAAAACCGCTCTTGAAGCCCATATTTCTATTTATTTTTTGAAATTCAGCTGTAGCTGATGATTCATTGGGGCATATGTGATTATTTGCAAAAAAGGCAGACATTTTTATATACCTGTTCTAAATTCTTTCAAGCAAAACTTTTACGTGTCTCCAAAAATTTTGTGAAACTTTGCCAGTCAGCAGAAACGTTTTTAGGAATTAGCAGGTCTGCAAAGAATTTTATTTAAATTTGCCAGTCAGCAGGCCCAAAAAGGATGGGGAACTGTTGTAGATGGTTCTCATTTGAGGGGTTTGAAAGAGGGATTCAAAAAAGTTGAGTTTTTTTTTCTTACAATGGTTTGATTTTAATTTAGCTAACTCCATGAGTCCATAAACAGTATAGGTAGTGTTCATTGTGGATGATAAGACATGCTTTAGGAATGAAGCATTTTTATTGCAACATCACACCCAGGAAGTCAATGGACTGCTTGGAGGAAAAACCGCCTTGCAGTAAGCAGGCAGCCCCCAGAAAGTCTTGCAATAGCACCTGTTGAGTAATATCACTTCCAAGTTTCCAACTGCTGTTGAGTGCTCTAAAACCTAATGTTCACCTTATAAATATAAACATTTTGCACTTTCTTTATTCTTTTGAATCTTTGCATGTGTGGGAAAGGTTTAAAAATAACTACCATTCATTCAAGAACAATGCCCTTTGTCTCTTGTGTGAATATTTTTCTATGAGAAATTATCTTCTTGACCTACTTTGCAAACTTCTTCTGCATAGTAGCTTCTTTGTTTGATGAACTGCAAAAATTAAAAGGGTACTGGAAGTAGTGTAATTGCCTGAAAAATTAACTGAGCTAATTTATATCTGTTTCTCTTCAGTTTTATTTTGCTTTGGATTGTTTCATACATTATATAAAGTATCCCCACCGCATTAAGTCTTTAGGAAAACTGCTTGAATTTAATTTAAGAGAAAGCTCATTTTCTTTTGAGGTCTGGGGAAAAAATGGAATGCTGTACATTAATTTTTTTCTCCTGAAACGACTGACTGTTGAGGATGATGCGAATTGAAGATTCCACCGTGTTTGTCATTATCCTGAATAAAAAGTTCCATGATCTTTTTAGCTATTCCTGTCTCAAAATGCACAATTTTTTTTGGAAAATGCAGGTGGACTCTCTCTAGAAACATTTTGTCTACAACGATTTTCTCTGCATGCTGTAGCAAAATGTTTTTTTTATCCTACGTAGGATTCTTTACCTATGCTATTGGGGTTCTTTGCAGATAAATTTTATCTGCAACAAATGTGCTTCTGGTTCCTTGAGTTTCATTTTTCAGAGAGTCCACGTGTATTCCAGAATTGCTTGTGATGAGAGCATTTTTTAAAAAGAAATATCTGAATGTGGGGTTTCAATCTCTTTGAAATTTATAAATAATTATCAAAGTTTATTTTAATCGCTGAGAATCCTTGGTAGGCTAAAAAAAATTACATGTGTTGAATAATTGAAAGATGCGGTGAATATTTGCATTCACTTTCCAACTTACAAATTTAGGTGCTTGTTTTTTTTGCTCAAATACTGTATATATTTTATGAATATATATTTACGATTGTGTGGTTTTGTCCTGCTTGAGAATAAATTGATTACACTGTATTCCTTTGAGTGACGGATACAACCGGAACCTGAATTTGCTGCAAACGCTGAGATCTGAGTGGCGCGAAAGGCATTGATGTTATTGTTGATAAGTTTGGAATTGCGTAGGTGTCGCTCGCTGTACAACAATAGTTTTTCTTAGTGTTCTTCGAATGTACTCTGCCCTTCAGAGTCCTGTTCACTCCGAAAAAGTATTCGTTTTTATTCCGGGAGTCATTTGTCTGATTCCATTTGAATGTAAAAATTTCTTTTTTGCGTGTGTGCAGATTTGGAAAGGTCGACTTTGAAAATGGATCGGCCATTTCATACTCTGTTCACTCCGAAAATCGTGATACCTTATGCGAAATACCTTCTACTTCTGGCTTCTCAGCCCATCTTCAACGCGTTCCAGTGGTTCTTGGCAGCTCTGCTTTCGGTGGAACCCATCGCTGCTTTCCTTGTCAGCAATGCTTCAAAGTGCAGGAGACGATTCTCAATTTTGCCTCCAGAAAATGCGTTTTTCCTGCAAACCAGCGTCGATTCTGCGAGAAACCGTCCCCTCGTGACACTCGTCGTCAAAATCGGCGCAGTTTCGCCATCAGCTTTCCGTGGAAAACTGCGGGACAGTCTTTTGCAAAAATATTCGCTATTCGAGTCCCTTTTTAACAACAGGTCACAACTGTCCCAGACCCCGTAAACCAAGACCCACTGTGGTAACCTTGTCGAGTTCCGTGAGCTAAGACGTCACCTAAGAGACCAAGTTCTGTGGCTGACTGTCGTGGACTCTGACTTTTTGCAAAGTGTGGGAGATGAGCTTTCTTGTGCAAGACCCTGGAGGATTTTTGTGGGGAAGACTAAAGAATTGGACTCGGTCGCCGTTTTTGCAGCCAAGAGATTCCTGGTGAACGAAACGGATGTTGCTGAAATTGCTGGAATATTTTGCCAGGATGATGAATCGGCGTCTGACTCGGCTTTCATGGATTCACAAGCGAAAAATCAGGTTTAAAAAATGTAAGAATACGAATAACTCCCTTTTGAGTCTCAAAAACCTGATCCTTTATAAACAATAAACCAGTTATAACCTCTAAGTGTTCGTACAAATGATTGGATTCCTTCTCGAAACTTAAATAAAATTCTGACTTGTCAGTTTTGCGGGCATCTGCGTAATTCACAAGCAGCTGTGGTGAACATACTCGTATTTCCGGGGCTTCATTCAGAATTGAATTTTTGCCGGTTTTGTGTATGATTGCTGCGAAAATAATTCCAGTGACAGCAAAAATGGCCTTCATTATTTCAAGTCCCATTTTCGCGCGTCTCTGGAAAGGCAAATTTATTCTCCCTTTCGTTGATTTTCTTCAAGAAGATCAAATGGCCTAAAAAAAATGTATATATTTGAGATTATAGACCTAAAAATTTTCCATCAAAAGGTATAAAGAAAACATTTGTTTAAAAAAAGCTGTGCAGTCTGCAGTGTTATGATTTTCGATTGAATAAATACCGTATTCAAAGAAAAATGCTCAAAAATTGTGTTGAAATACTCAGAGAACCCTGATGAAGTATATTTGATTTTTCTTCCAGTCGACAGACTGTAAACCATGAAAATGAATTAATAGATAAGTATGAAACTCATTTATCATTTTTAAAATTTCTTTGGTATAAGGAAAATATCAAAATTCCGCTCTTGCAATTGAATGAATGAAGTGAAATGAAATCTGTCATTTATTATGCATAAAAATAAGGATATAAGTTATTTTAATGATTGCAAAAGAAAAAAACTATATGATTTATTCCAGGGCCTGGTCAGATCTGGAATGCTGGAAATTTCTTGTTATTCTTGCAGGAAAGCAGTGAAAATCTCTGCACAGCCTTGGCAACACTGGTGAAGGATAATTTCCATGCAGCCACATATCTAGCAACCCTGGACCTGTGCCAAGAGCACAATGAATATTTGAAGAAGAACTTGTCAGGAGTCAGGTAACTTATTTTTTCATTAAAGAATCTTCCGAAAATCTGGAAAATGCACCTTGAGTCAGTGCCAAACACTTTCATAGCTTACTGAGGATACATTTCCATAAAATATATTCACATTTTGCTGCATTTTCATTGAAAATGAAACGGGTTTCCTTTGCAAAAGACCTAGTTGTAACATATTTTCACCAACAAAAAAGCTTTTTTGAGGCCTCTGAAATATACTACGATGGAATCTAGGCCCTAACATGAGAGAATTCTCACAAGATTTCCCTCATGAGACCAATTCTTTTCTCTTGGGAGATTTTTATGAGAGTACAGCATTCAAATTTTTATCTTTTCATATACAGTACAGTCAACCCTCAGTTAACGTTCCGTTTGCTGAATGTTTTTTTGCTCAAGGTTCCTGGTCCTGTGAGAAAAATCCCCTTGCCTAATGTTCTGAAATCCGCTTAACGTTTTGCAGTTGTGCAGCACTGCGTGATCAATGTGGATGCCTCCCTCCCTCCTTCCTGTACATTTTCTTGAATGTGAATTTTTCCACAGCTTTAAATGTGTTTCCTGTGTGGTGGTGTGGTGTTATAATTATTTTATGAACAATTGCAGTGTCACACACTGAATTCTGGGTAACACTTAGACCCTTCCTTGTTTAAAATGAATCTCTGATTTCAATTGAATGAAGAACTGGGGTTACTTTTTGAATGTAATGGCAGTGCATAAAGCTCAGTTGTTGGAATACACTCTTTCATTATTTTTTTCTGAATTTTACCTTTAGAAAATTTTGCCTGACACCAATTAAACGTTTCTCCCGTATATCTTAAGGGAGAGACTACCTTGCTTAACATTTTTTTCAGCAAAAATTTTTTCCCCTGCACCAACTAAAAATGTTAAGCAAGGGTTGACTGTATATATAGTATGAGAATTATTGAATGGGTCAAGCATGCTGTTGGCATGGGGCATATTCATATATACAGTCAACCCCCAGAACCCTCATGAGACCAATTCTTTTCTCTTGGGAGATTTTTATGAGAGTACAGCATTCAAATTTTTATCTTTTCATATACAGTACAGTCAACCCTCAGTTAACGTTCCGTTTGCTGAATGTTTTTTTGCTTAACATTCCTGGTCCTGTGAGAAAAATCCCCTTGCCTAACGTTCTGAAATCCGCTTAACGTTCTGCAGTTGTGTGGCACTGGGTGATCAATGTGGATGCCTCCCTCCCTCCTTCCTGTACATTTTCTTAAATGTGAATTTTTCCACAGCTTTAAATGTGTTTCCTGTGTGGTGGTGTGGTGTTATAATTATTTTATGAAGAATTGCAGTGTCACACACTGAATTTTGGGTAACACTTAGACCTTTCCTTGTTTAAAATGAATCTCTGATTTCAATTGAATGAAGAACTGGGGTTACTTTTTGAATGTAATGGCAGTGCATAAAGCTCAGTTGGAATACACTCTTTCATTATTTTTTTCTGAATTTTACCTTTAGAAAATTTTGCCTGACACCAATTGAACGTTTCTCCCGTATATCTTAAGGGAGGGACTACCTTGCTTAACATTTTTTTCAGCAAACATTTTTTCCCCTGCACCAACTAAAAATGTTAAGCAAGGGTTGACTGTATATATAGTATGAGAATTATTGAATGGGTCAAGCATGCTGTTGGCATGGGGCATATTCATATATACAGTCAACCCCCAGACAATGCACTTAATTTATGCAGGAGACTAGCCTGTTATGCAAACTTCATTTTCCTATATGTTTACGCTTATGCAAAATAAGCAAGATTACAACCAAAAGAAGTAAAAAACACAACATACACACATTCACAGCAATAGTAATGAAATTTTTTATTCAAATTGAGTTGGGAAGCATGGTAAGGGGGGATGTAAGGGACTCATGTCTACTGGTAGCATGCGCTTCTACAGACTGAAGTCTGTTGTTTGGATTTGTCTGTTATGCAAGAGGATAAACTGCCTCCAGAGGTGGTCTGATCTGCAAAAATCTGTTGTGTGGTGTCATTATGCTCCATAACTGTGTCATTAGGCTCCATTTTGCATCAACTGGAAATTCTCATCTTCAATTTCACAGGTGGCACAACTTTGGAAAAGTCAGGGTAAGTGTCCCAGGAACAACCTTGACAGAAATTGCAGAGCTGAATGGAGCTAGAAATGAAGATATTTTGCATGTTGGACTATGCCATAGTTTCCAGGAATTCCATGAAAGGCATGGGTCCAACAGACTCCTGGACAACATTTCTACTGCTTTGATGAACCCTGGAACTTGTACTGGTGTCAGAGGTGACATCTGTCCTACAGGGCGGATCTGGTTCCCAACACTCAATGGTCCTCCAGAGACAAGAATGAAGGTCATATCGTCAACATTGGATTACTATGGAAACAATGGGTGTGTTCTCTTTCATGAGTTTACATGATGTGATAAAATCTATTGCAGAGAAAAACAATCCAGGCTTTCTGAATATTCCTCAGATCTTATGATTTGAGGACAATTTGGGAACTGGAAGTTTCCTTGAAAATGTTTTCCTTTGATTATGTTTTGCAAAATTCTTGAAAATATGGTACAGTGAGACCCTGAGATGCGGACGTAATTGATGCATCAAGAGTGTCCCCAAGTCAGAAAGTCACCAAGTCAAGTCTTGTTTTCCCATATACTTACATTATACCATTTTTAATTGGTATTTTGTGAAAGGAATATTCTTCAGAATTCCCTGAAAAAAAAAAAATTTTCCGCTATAATTTGAGTTAGTGAATACATTTTCAACTCAATAAGAACATTTGGAGCATTAAATAGTGTATCTCTGTACTGTACACTGAAATTTTGGCATCTACAAAAATAATATTCAAGTGAAAAAAGTAGAAGTCCCTCTATGCTGGAGGTAATTTTTTTAAATTAGGTAATTGGATGGTAATTTGGTGAGAGAAATGCCCAAGAACTTTTCTTACATCAATTTTAGGGTTGTAAATATCTGTTTCTTGTAATCTGGTCTTAAATTTATTTACAATTTTATCACAAAATGTCCTTACGTTGAGTCAGTGTCCTCATGTTGGGCCTTATTTATTGATTTTTTCTGGGAACGTAAGTGTCCCTATGTTGAATTGTCAACAGGTCAATGCATCTGCATGTGGGGTCTCACTGTATTGTCATTTACAATGCATTTGGATTGATTCCGGAGGCATGAAAACTTTTCAGAGAACTTGTAAAAAACCTTTTATCACACTATTTCTTCAATAGGGGTTGGAAGAAATTGATGTTCATGACAATCAACAAAATACCAGAAGAAATTTTGACACTGCCTTTCAAGTGGACTTTTGGTGTCACACATGTGGACCTGAGTTCACTTTCGCCAAAAGCTGCAGAAGCTGTTCAGTGGATCAACTTTGGTCCTGGTTCAACAGGAGGTAAATTCAGTCAATTATTTCATCACACAACATAATTGTTTTGGTTAATTTGAAATCAAAAGGCGTTCCATTTTATCCCAGATAATTTTTAATTGATGAAAAATTACTGCATAAAAAAATCTTGAGATGAAAGATCTAGTATATTTTCGGAGATATAATATAAAGCTAAACTTTTTTCCTATATGGCTCTCTGATATTTAGGAGAATATTTCTTTCATCAAGTTTCATTGGTTGGCATGTTTTGATTGATGATACAAAGTTCATATGTAATCAGGGTTACCATAATTTAGGCACGGACAATTTAAAAATCCCCTTATTTCTTTTCTCATAGGTTTGAGCTGGACTTTCATCAGCCACAATGAATCAGGATCCAAAGTGTGCATCGAAGGAGATTCTTCATTCTTAAAATCCTCGCGGGAAATTGACCTCATGTGTCGGGATTTTGTGGCGGAGGTCAACAGACTCTGCAATTCCGTGGCGATTGCCAAAAATCGGCACAAGCCTCCAAGTGTTTCAACGTCTTCGTCGTCATCGCAAGGACTACCTGATGATGATGCCACACTATTGGAAGTCAAGAGAACCCAGCAAATTGAGGCTGATTTGCAGCCACTCATGAGCGATTGGGGCCATGATGGACAGCATCAACCGACGCCGATTCCAGTTGCGAGTTCCTAAATTGAAACCTTTTTTTTTTTAAATAAAGTGAAGTATTTTTCGAGAACTGGCACGATTTTCGGCGAGAAACTGATATTTTCGATTTTCTGGTTTGATGGGTAACTTTTAATAATTTGTTTTGGATTAGTGGAATTTATGATATGCGTTTGCATTTTTTTGAGCGACACGGACAAGATTGAAAAAAAAATGTACGAAAACTACCATTGCTTTTTATACTTCCAAAAACTTTTGTACCATTGTTTTATGTCTTCTGAAAACGAGACATTTTTGAAGACTGGACAGAGAAGAAAGAATGTCTTCATAAATTTTTCTTCCTCTTGCGAAAGATTTAAAATTTTGCGTCATCAACTCATCATGCGCAGCCTGAAATTTTAACATGAGATTCGGTGAATTCGTATTTTTGCTAATTTGAAAGCCAACGATCTAAAGATGAGATAATATTGAAAAACAATGAATGCCGCATTTCTGAAGAGATCAAAAAGATTTTCAAAGAAAAAGCGTGCGTCAGCTTCCTTTTGTTCAACTATTGAGAAAGTTGTACTCTTCAAATAATTTTGGCAGTGAAAATTAAGAGCTGGAATGTACAGAAATTTTTTTTGGGAAGCTGTTGAATATCTTCTCTTGCAGCATTTCTTCACTGATGATTGACACATTTTAGAGCTTAGCAATAAAATCTCACTGAGGGAAGGTTTCTCTGTCAACCAAGGAAAATTCTGTTCCATATATACACTGTGGGCCAAAAATGTAAACCAAGTTTCAATTTACAATAGCTCAGTAGCAAATCCAGGTATGAAAAAAACCAAATGAAATCTTGTTCAATTTCCTTTTGAATGGTAAATAGTTTCATGATCCCAGCAAGTTTCATCCCAGAAAAACCATTTAGTGTCAAAAATGTGTCAATTACATGTGCCTCCAAGGTGTATCTTTACACATCAAATGTTGTGTCCAGTCCCCCAGTGTACAGGTAGATTGATGTGGACTGGGACATATGTTCCTGAGGCACATAAAGTTGGCACCAAAAAATGGCATTTATTGAGAATGGCATTGAGAATTTTGTGTATAATGACAAATTTAAAAAGGATGCATCATTGATTTGTACTTTTGTGTATCTTTAAGGTCAGTCTTGAACCCTTCTGTGGCAACGCTGGACTTTTTTGCAGATTTTGGTTGCACTCAAGAGTGGCATTAAAAAAAAAACCATGATAGTGTGTGCAGGGCAATGTTGGGAAAAATCCTGGAATTTTTTTAAATTTTCTGCATAAAAATTTAAATTTGAAATGAAAAAATGAAATCTTCAAGGTTCCCTTTTTCCCCAAGCCTTGTGTTGTTCCCTCGTTGAAAGATTAAACTTCAGTTTGGAAGCCAGGAGCCCAGGATATAAGTCAATACAGTAAAAGTCCAACTTACAACTTTCCCAGCATTTCTTGATCCCTGAATAAAATCCAACTTTGCCCTTCCCCACCTGACAGGGGTGGCATAACCTAGTGCACAAACTTGATGCAGGCCCAAGGGTAAAAAGTTCAACTCTGCCCTGTGATGGAAAGAAGGCTGCCACCATCCAAGGGTTGAGGGTCAATGGCATGTCCAGAAAAAAAGAGTTTTCAGGCAACTTCTTCCACAGCATGCCGCTGTTCTTCAGACCTGGTTTTAGGGATGATGTAATTCAACCAGCAAACTTCACACTGCCTTCAAGAGGGTGCATGAACACTCAAAACACAAGGGGTAAGCAGGGGGGAGAACTGAGAAAAATGAGCAGTGGGATGTAGCCCAAATCATAATGCAAGCTTGCTGTTTCCCAGATTCATGGCTCCTGTGACCCCCAGCATGAAAATCTGCTCTGGATGATAGGATTGCTCCAATTTTGTTCCAATCAATAATCATAATGGTCAGACACAACTTTTCTCATCATTGGTCAATGTTTTCAAAGTTTGATTTTCCTGGACATCACAAGCAGAGTCCTTTTACAAAATATCATAAAAACAGAGTCATTTTGGATTGGTTCAAGTTTTGGAGTCACATTACAAAAATTTGAAACCAATGCAGATCTTTTATCATTTGCTGAATAATTTTTAATCAAATATGCTGTAAAAGATATTTAATTTTCCCCCAAACTTCAAAATCAGTAGCAATAAAAGAAGTAAATACTGGTGGATTTGTTCTACAGTGAAATTCAAAGGACCATAAAAGTGCTTTTTAGAGAACTCTTCAAACATGGGGAACTCTGTGGGCCCAAAAATATATATGTTGTACAAAGACAATTGTTGCTGACAAGTTCATGGTCATTGATTCAAGGGTCCAACTGTATGTGGAAATAAAATTAGTGCATTACAGTAAACCCCGCCTATAACAGACCTTCTACCTATAGAATTTTTGCCTAATGGATTGCCTCTGGAGGCAGTTTTTCCTCCCACCTGACAAACAAAATCTACCTAAACAGACTTCTGTTGGTTTAAAATTAATGATAAAAATGAAAATTTTCAATTTTCATGATTGAATTTGTCTAAAGGACTTTCCAAATAACAGACTACAGTGCCCCCCTGCCTAACAGACCTCCCGTGTAAGGGATTCTTGCCAAACAGACCAGCTCTGCAAGCAGTTTTTCCTCCCGCCCAACAGACATCAACAAAATACCAGAAGAAATTTTGACACTGCCTTTCAAGTGGACTTTTGGTGTCACACATGTGGACCTGAGTTCACTTTCGCCAAAAGCTGCAGAAGCTGTTCAGTGGATCAACTTTGGTCCTGGTTCAACAGGAGGTAAATTCAGTCAATTATTTCATCACACAACATAATTGTTTTGGTTAATTTGAAATCAAAAGGCGTTCCATTCGATACCAGATAATTTTTAATTGATGAAAAATTGCTGCATAAAAAATCCTGAGATGAAAGATCTAGTATATTTTTGGAGATATAATATAAAGCTAAACTTTTTTCCTATATGGCTCTCTGATATTTAGGAGAATATTTCTTACATCAAGTTTCATTGGTTGGCATGTTTTGATTGATGATACAAAGTTCAAATGTAATCATGGTTGCCTTAATTTTAGGCACAGAACATTTTGAAAACCCCCTTTCATTTCTCATATAGGTTTGAGCTGGACTTTCATCAGCCACAATGAATCAGGATCCAAAGTGTGCATCGAAGGAGATTCTTCATTCTTAAAATCCTCGCGGGAAATTGACCTCATGTGTCGGGATTTTGTGGCAGAGGTCAACAGACTCTGCAATTCCGTGGCGATTGCCAAAAATCGGCACAAGCCTCCAAGTGTTTCAACGTCTTCGTCGTCATCACAAGGACTGCCTGATGATGATGCCACACTACTGGAAGTCAAGAGAACCCAGCAAATTGAGGCTGATTTGCAGCCACTGATGAGCGATTGGGGCCATGATGGACAGCATCAACCGTCGCCGATTCCAGTTGCGAGTTCCTAAATTGAAACCTTTTTTTTTTTTAAATAAAGTGAAGTATTTTCGAGAACTGGCACGATTTTCGGCGAAAAAATGATATTTTCGATTTTCTGGTTTGATGGGTAACTTTTAATAATTTTTTTGGATTAGTGGAATTTATGATATGCGTTTACATTTTTTGAGCGAAACGGACAAGATTGAAAAAAAAAATGTACGAGAACTATCAGTGCTTTTTATATTTCCAAAAACTTATGTACCATTGTTTTATGTCCTCCGAAAACGAGACGTTTTTGAAGACTGGACAGAGAAGAAAGAATGTCTTCGTAAATTTTTCTTCCTCTTGCGAAAGGTTTACAATTTTACGTCGTCATGCGCTGCCTGAAATTTTAACATGGGATTCGGTGATAATCGTATTTTTGATAATTAGAAAGCCGAGGATCTGAAGATGAGATAATTTTGAAAAACAATGAATGCCGCATTTCTGAAGAGATCAAAAAGATTCTTGGAAGAAAGCGTGCGTCAGCTTCCTTTTGTTCAACTATTGAGAAAGTTGTACTCTTCAAATAATTTTGGCAGTGAAAATTCAGAGCTGGAATGTACAGACATTTTATTTTTGGAATCTGTTTAAAATCCCTCCTTTTCTCTAAAAATCGTCTCTCAGATGAAAAATGGTCAGATAAGTGAAATATTTTTTGAATGTCCATTTCAAAAATTACTGTACCAGGATACAGTACATTTATGACTTAAATATCGATTTATCCACAACTTTGGCCCTATTAAACAAGATTGTTTGACTTATAGTGAACAAGCTCTTCAAACTGCTGAAAGCATCCCTGCACAAGAAATTGATTTTTGGTTTCTTTTTTGATGACTTTCTAGTTGTTTTTCATATATAAACAGCTTGACAAAATCTTGAAAGACTGAACTTTCAATTCACTAGCATTCCCAAGCAGTGCAAAAAAAATCATACACATTCTCTTTTTCTGCTGCTGATATAAACCCATAATGTAAGCCAATTCATAGTATCTATAATAAACAGCATTTCTTCACTGAAAATTGACACATTAATAGAGATTAGCAATAAAATTTCACTGAGGGAAGGTTCTCTGTCAACCAAGGAAGATTCTGTTCCATATATAGTGCATGGGCCAAAAATGTGAACCAAGTTTCAATTTACAATAACTCAGTAGCAAATCCAGTTATGAAACAAACACCAAATGAAATCTTGTTCAATTTCTTTTTGAATGGTACAATATATAGTTTCATGATCCCAGCAGGTTTCATCCCAGAAAAACCATTCAGTGTCAAAAATGTGTCAATTACACATGCCTCCAAGGTGTATCTTCACACATCAAATGTTGTGCCCAGTCCCCCAGTGTACAAGTAGATTTATGTGGACTGGGACATTTTCCTGAGGTCCATAAAGTCAACACGGAAAAATGGCATCAATTGGCATTGAGAAATATGTTTAACATGACACATTCATAAAGTATGTGTCATTCATTTGTACTTCTGTGTATCTTTAAGGTCAGTCTTGAACCCTTGTGTCAAAGTTGGACTTTTTTTGTAGATTTTGGGTGCACTCAAGAGTGGCATTAAAAAACCATGACAGTGTGTGCAAGGCAATATCAGGAACAATCCTGGCACTTTTTTTTTTAATTTTCCACAAAAACATTCCACTTTTCAAAAAATTGAAATCTTCAACGCTCCCTTTTTTCCCTGGCCTTGTGTTGTTCCCCCATTCAAAGATCAAATTTAAGCTTAGAAGCCAGGAGCCCATGTCAGAGGTCAATACAGAAAAAGTCCAACTTGGTACTTTCCCAGCATTTCTTGATCCCTGAATAAAATCCAACTTTTCCCTTCCCCACCTGACAGGGGTGGCATAACCTTGTGCAAAAATTTGATGCAGTCCCAAGGGTAAAAAGTTCAACTCTGCCCTGTGATGGAAAGGAGGCTGCCGCAATCCAAGGGTTGAGGGTCATTGGCAACTCCACAAAAAAAGAGTTGTCAGGCAAGTTATTCCACAGTATTCCACTGTCCTTCAGGCCTGGTTTTAGGGATAATGTAATTCAACCAGCAAACTTCATACTGTCTTCAAGAGCGTGCATAAACAATCAAAATACAAGGGCTTAGCACTTAGCAGGGGTGAGATCTGAGAAATATGATCAGTCCCTACATCGGGTTTAGTATTACGTTCGAACGACAAAGGGTCTAAGTACCGAGGACACTGGGGGTCGTACTTTTAGACGAGACCTACTATCCTAACGAGGTTAAAACAAGGTTAGTTATTAGTATTACGTCAGACACAACTTTTCTCATCATTGGTCAATGTTTTCAAAGTTTTATTTTCCTGGACATCACAAGCAGAGTCCTTTCACAAAATATCATAAAAACAAAGTCATTTTGGATTGGTTCAAGTTTTGGAGTCACATTACAAAAATTTGAATCCACTGCAGAACTTTTATCATTTTCTGAATAGTTTTTAATCGAATATACAGTACAAGATATCGAATTTTCCCCCAAACTTCAAAATCAGATGCAATAAAAGAAGTAAATACTGGTGGATTTGTTCTACAATGAAATTCAAGGGACCATAAAAGTGCTTTTTAGAGAACTCTTCAAACATGGGGAACTCTGTGTGCCCAAAAAATATATTTTGTACAAAGACAACTGTTGTTGACAAATTCATGGTTATTAATTCAAGGGTCCAACTGTATGTGGAAATAAAATTGGCGCATTACAGTAAACCCCTGCCTATAACAGACCTTCCACCTATAGAATTTTTGCCTAATGGATTGCCTCTGGAGGCAGTTTTTCCTCATCCCACCTGACAAACAAAATCTACCTAAACAGACTTATTCTGTTGGTTTAAAATTAATGATAAGAAAGAAAAATTTCAATTTCCATGATTGAATTTGTCTAAAGGACTTTCCAAATAACAGACTAGTCTGTTGTACAAATTAAGTCCATTGTGCTGGGGTTCACTGTATATGCTTGAGTATACCAGCCAAAAGACTCAAGACATTGCATAAATAAAAATAAAAATCTGCCCTAGTATTGGAGTATTTCCCTGGTTCCATGGGAATTTCATCCTTCAATTGACTTATTATTCTCAATTAAATTATTGCGCGAAAAATCCCCCAAAAATTACCACATAATAGCTGCCCATCAGAGAAGCCAATTAAAAATGAGATGGAGAAAAAATTACAAAACCATATGCTATGAGGAGGAAAGATGTTCCCCACAACAAAGTCAAGCCAAGTGACAAATGACGCAGTTTTGTGGGCGCGTCCGCAAAAAAAGTGCGCCAACTGTGAAACGCAGATCCGAGAACCGGTCTATTTTCCTCTTGGATTTTCCGCACCTAAAATAATAGGAACAAGCTTCTATAATTAATCTTTATTTTTCTACTGCTTCTTCTTCCTCTTTTTCTTCCTGTTATTGTTCATCATAAACGTCATCTATATTTTATAAACTCATTCATGACCAGCTTTTCTCCCAAAAATATTCGGAATCTTGTTGTTTTTCATCGGAATTATACGAGGAGGAGTTGCGTTATATCCCGCGTTTGAGCAGCCAACCAAAGCGGACTTCCTGGTGAGATTCATTTCCAGTTTGATGACCAATGGTTGATGATGATGATTTATTGCTACTGGAAGTACGTCCGGGGATTCCAACGGGGAGGAAGATTTAAAAAGAATGCTGACCAGGAACCATTTAGAAAAAATGAATCGTGAAAAATAAAAAAAACGGGGTCGTTTATTGCAGTATAAGTTACCTCACTCTCTTTTATTAACTTATTTCCCCAGGTAGTACACTACGACCGGTTCTAAAAACGCCTTTATCGAGAGCCAAAAAAAAAAGTTTAAATAATTAGCAATTTACATATGAAAAATAATGATTTTCTGCTTTCAAATTCATCTTTCTCAAGTTTTCTTAAAGAATACTCAGACAAAGAGGTTTGTTCTTATGAAATAGTGATTTTGAAGGCTTTATGTTTATTTCAGCATATTATTGATGTTACAACTATACTCATCTTGGCAAAATGTAGTATAAATTAAATACATTATGCTGAATTCAGGTTTTTTTGGCTTACACAGTTCTCGCAACACTTTTTAAATCTCATTCAATTGTCAAAAATTCCTATCCTGTAAAGTATTGTATTACTGTGCTACAGTAACACACTTTGATTGTAAACGCTGTGACCTGTGCAAGAATGCATACATAGATTCATAGGTGGTGCCTCACAATTTGACCTTCCACAATTCAACCATTCCAACATTTGATGGTTGAATTTTCTGGGAGGTTGACTCACAATTTGACCCTTGCCCAACGATTTGACCTGCTTTGGCCACTTTTTGCATATTTAACCCTTGTGCAGCAAAGTTGGGATTTTTTTGCAAAATTTTGTGCTACTGTGCACTGAGAATAAAAAAAGCTATTTTTTATCATTATGCTCAATTGCGCTAAGTCAGGAAAAAGTCCAAGATTTTTTTATAATCCTGCAGAAAATTTTCAATGAATGTTAAAAAAGTCCAACCGACCCACCGCAAAGAAGGACGTAAGGACCGTATCCTCAACGTACCTTTTTAGAACCCTTGTTTTCTTGTAAACGGAGGACCTAAAAAGGGTTGAATCAGGAGGAGTTGGACCCGCGTAAAGTCTAACCTTGGGTCAAACTGAAATGCGCTGTCCCCAGAAAAATCCTGACTCTGCCATGCACTGAGAAAGAACCATCCGCTGTCCAAGGTTAAGCTTATATTTTTGAATTTCAGAAAGTGTCTTGCAATTTGACTACTTATGTAATTTGACCCTAGTTTTGAAACAGATTAGGGTCAAATGTTGAGTTATAGCACCTGTATTGATACAGGCGTGGTACCTCACAATTCAAACTCCTGAAATGCAACTGTCACAAAATTTGATGGTTGAATTTTCAGGGATGAGGTTGACTCACAATTAGACCCTTGCCCTGCAACTTAACCTGCTTTGGCCATTTTTTACATTTTTGCAGTGACATTTTTGAA